TCCTGATTCAGATTCAGATACCTTACCTTTGTTCCTAATATGCCAAGTTCAATATTGACACTCTTCAATATTAGTCAAATTCTTTCAGAATAATTATTAAACGTGATTCTAATCTCAAAAAAATGGACCACTAATGGACAGGTTGTTCACCTTCAAGTAGGGAAGGATGAAAATGTTAGAAGGAAGTATAATGACAGTCTAATCCTATACATGCTTACTTTGAAGTAAATCTCACAGTTCAATAAGTCTTATTTCCAAATAAGTATTCCTAGGAACCTTGCCAGATGAAAAATAAAATGTACTTTAGTCAAAATTTTGATTTAGTGCTGACTGATATAGAAACAGCATTTACACGAAGGGTTGTTTTTTTTTTGCAACTGATTTGTTAAGAAAAAAGTAAACATGATACACACAAACACGCACACACAATCCTTCTGTCTTTTCCCCAGAAGTAATAGATTGATTACAGAAATAAATACCTTACTATCATCTTCTGACAGAAAGGATAATTAAATCTGCGGGAAACTCCATTCAACAATACTCTAAACAATCAAGAATGCCTGCTTAGAGAGCCTGCTTCACCCAGTCCATCTGCTGATTAGAGTTGTTGCTTTTATTAGTCCTTTCTTCACATTTATAAGGTCCACTGTTTTTTTTAAAGAAAATGACAAATAATATTTCTAAAGCACGTAAACAGATGGCATTACAGCAGGTAATCATTTAATTTTAAAAACTCTTACAGGATGAGCAAAATTGTCCAAAAGCTCAGAAAACAGTATGGATGTACATCTGGCAGCACACAGTGTGAGAAAAAAACAGACTCAACTTTGCACTTGGAAGAAAGTTTTCAAGCCCTATAGATGAAGTCATGACCATGAAGACAATTTCAACAAGAAGTTTAAGGTTGGTCAATATATCCTGCTGCTAATATTCTTAGCGATTTAGATATTCAACTCTGCTTCAGACAGCAGATACTGAGTGGGCGTCTAAGAATCTTTCTCAAATGTCCTAAAAAGATTGAAATTGGAGTTTTGAATTACACTTGAGTCCATTTCTGTACATGGAATTTGGGAGGATGTATAACCTTTTATCTTTGCCTGAAGCAGCAAAATCATTTGGACCAACTTCGGTTAATATTACCCTTTGAATGAAGAGACTTGCTCATCTGATAGGTCACTGTATAACATAGAATCACTCTGTAGACTGAAAGCATCTCATAACAAGCTGCTTTTGAATATTATTTGCCAAGAAGTATGTGAGAACTGTTTATTTAGGAAGCCCTCGCTTACCGACTGCCTCATTTATTGAAGTTCACAGTATAATGGTGTGGAAAAAAACCCAGAACCCCTGGCTTTGCGACTGATCCTTATATCTATGATTGTTGTGGTATCCAACTGCCACATTATCACCATTTGCTTGATTACCAACTGATTTCTGACAAGCAAAATTAATGGAAATCGAGGATGTAAAAGTGAGTCACAGGATGACTCACTTAAGAACTCTAGTGATTCACTTAACAACCAAATGGGAAGGGATGTTGTAATTCTGTCACAGTCAAATCATTTTTCTGCTTAGCAACTACAGTTCTTGTCAGACCTGCCAGCACTTAAATCTCTAAACAGAAATAATCCTTGTCTCCATTTGTTGAGAAAGGTATAATTTTATTAGAGGTCAGGTTTAGGTGCTGGCAGTAATGCAGAGCCAGAACTGAGACTCGTGCACCAAAATCCCTAAGTTCAACTTTTCCCTCCCTTAACTGCCTCCCATTACTGGCACATACCCCCCATGAGCAATCAGATTCAAGCAAGATGTTTTCAGAACTGTCACTTCAAGCGTAGATTGATATGCAGCTGCCTTCTTCTCCCAGCTGGCTGACCTTGAAGCAGCATCCAGGGCAGTACAGAGGTAACTTTTACTTTCCTCCACGCATTCCCCCTCTCATCCACCCTCCCCAAAGTTCATGGCAGACTGTCACTGCATGGTAGAGAAGCACACAAGCAAGCGTAAGGTGGCAGCTGACAGTTCTAAGCATTATCATCAATGACATTTTCATCCCTGTCAAATAGTAGCACCAGTTTCTTCATCATCACCATCATTAAAAACGCAGCCACTATATTTGCATAACTGAACTAATTAATTGGTTTCAGTAATTAGCAGTATCTTCCCACCATCCACTACATTGTAAACCCAGTGTCTCTCGCTTGAAATTTCCTGATGCTGCCAGCATGAATTAATGGAACTTTTATAACAATGGTTTTTGTTATTTTTTTTTAAGAAAAAAACTTTTATACAAGTTTGCCTAAGAAACTTATCAGGGTTTCTTCATTAAGAACATTCATAACTATTAGTGCAGAACCTAAAACTCTTGGATCTTTTTTAAAAAAAAAACCCCTTCTCATCTAATCTTCTGTAAAACAAATTGCTGTCAGGATTATTTATTCTTTTTGCCAAAGAAGAAGAAAAATATGAGTTAAATTCTCATGGGTTCTGTGACAGCATGCAGTCACCCATGGCTCTCTGCTATCTAGGTAGTCATTTCTTTTTCACTGATATCAGAATCTGAGAGTGGTAGAAAAAGCATATTTTCTCAAAGGAAAGGTGGATAGTTGCTCTGTTAGGAAAGAGAAACCTGGACACTTAAATAAAAGGCAACTGGGAAGAATGAAGTGACAGGGGCAAACTGAAATGAATTTTAGACAGGGTTAGATACTTTAGATTTGTTATTGGTTATTGGTTTCAGGCAAGTCTCTTGAGGTGAAGGTAAGCGAGGGAGGCCCACTGAATAAGGGAGAGATGCAGTGAAACACAATTACAGAATTCTTGTCAGTTCACAAAGTAAGAATATGCAACAAATATAAAGACGTAAACATAGGACACTTAAAACCCATAAACGGTCTGTTCTCACAGTCTCCCCTCAGCTGTTCCCTCAAAAAAGCTGAACTCTTGAAACAGACAGCATTTCAAAAGGATCTTTTATTGAGGGATAGTGACTGCAGAGAAAGCAGGCAGGATAAAAAAAATCCCACGCTAAAACGTTAGGTTAAACCCCATTGTTCAAAAGCCCTCCCAACTGCCCAGAGTTAGATTATGTCCCATGAATCCACAAAGCTCTTGTGGTAGATACAATGAATTTGCACATAGAAATCACCCCCAAATTCTTTACTGTGATAGCAGTTCTACAGAAAATGTAAAACATGGGGAAATAGGTTCCTAAATGTTGTGAGAAAGAAGCTAGAATTTATTTTCATCCTTACTATTAAATTGTTCTGCCTCTGAGATATATAGATATAACCTATAGTTATGTTTCCAACAAGATGGCTTCTTAAAATGATTTGATCAACTTGCAACAGGATGAGAAGAATAAAACTGCTCATTATATAAGGGCAATTCGGAAAGAAACCTCCGTTTGGTTATCAATGACAGACACTTGCAGATACGGGACTTTTATTATACACACTAGAAAACTAAAACATTACATTACTTTTCAACATAATCACCTTTCAAATTGAGGCACTTGTCATAGCATCTTACAAGGTTTGAAATTCCTTAGTCGTAGTCACTCGGCGCCAAATCTGGGCTATGGGGGAGTGTGTGTGATCAAAAACATCCCAACAGAACTGCCTCAAAAGTTCTTAGGTGTGTCTAGCAGTGTGTGGGTGAGCATTATCGTGAACCAACACCACACCAGAAGTCAGCATGCCCCAAGGCTTGTAATGGATGGCTCGTCTGAGTTTTCATAACAGTTCAGAGTAGACATCTGAACTGATGGTCGAACCACGCTCCATGAACTTCACCAGCAGTACTCCTTTGGCATCTTCACATTTGGCAGGATTTTCTATGGTACCACTTCCAGTGTGGTGTTGGTTCATGATAATGCTCACCTGCACACCGCTAGACGCACACCATTGGGATGTTTTTTATAACCCCCCTTATAACCCAGATTTGGCGCTGAGCGACTACTACTAAGGAATTTCAAACCTTGTAAGTCGTTATGACAAGTGCCTCAATTTGAATGGCGATTATGTCAAAAAGTAATGTAATGTTGTAGTTTTCTAATAGGTATAATAAAAGTTCTGTATCTGTGAGTGTCTGATAACCAAATGGAGGTTTATTTCCGAATTGCCCTCATATTAAATAATTAGCATCTACTGGATATAATGCAGATCCATAACAAATGCAGATTATGGTATTTGTACTGAGGATACAAAAGAAATGTTTTGGAGAGAAGGCTAATTTGCAGCTATTTGGTAGCAATTTAATTGCACTTGTAACTTGCTTCCTTTTGAAATACCACTGAACATAAACATAACAAAAGGTTACTTTGGATATGGAGAAATCAGAAATTCCCCAAAGCTTTTTTTTTTTAAAGAAGCCGACATTCGTAGCTTGAAATGCTAAACAAAGTGTGAAAGTTTATTAGAAGAAGGAACATAATGAGTCAATATCCAGATAAATATTTGCCACTTGCAAACACCGTACAAATAAAGATCTTAATCAATCTGACAGCAACTCATAAGTTAGTGGAGTGTTCAACACTCCGAGACGAGGAGATTTTAAAAACCGAACACCATGTTAATGAATTTTTAATTTTCTTTTTTATTGAGCATCCCCTGAGCCTTGTTGAAAGATAAAAGTCAGAGTATCAGATTAGCTATGGCATCAAATCCATCAAGGGCTGAAATGTTCTTTGTCTGTCTGCCTGCTTGCCTGCCTGCCTGCCTCTCTGTTTGTCTGTCAATTAATGGATCGATCTATCGACTAAACTACATTGGAAGAGAGGAGAGAGGTCATGTCAATCTTCCAGTGATTGCAGCAGCTGCTCACGTTATTAAACAAAACAGAAATAAGTTATTATGACAGCCCCGTTTTGTACATCTAAATGCCTGGCCTGAATGCGTGACCAAGAATTAGTTCATTTTTATTTAGTTAAAATTTTATCTTGCAAAATGCCAGTAACTATATCCAAAAATAAATTGTACAAACCTTCTGCTAAGAATTAAAAAAAAATAGAATAGCAAATAGAAGGTTTACTAAAGAAAGTGACGGGCATGCTAATCTTCTCTGTATCGTTCCAATTTTAGTATATGTGCTGCCAAAGCGAACTAGAGAGATTTACGATAAGAGGAGAAAGGGTATTAACCAATGATCTACTAAATTAAGAAATGGATTATATGTGAAAATATTAGAATGTTATTGTTGGAATACTATGTATGTTGTAGGAGGGATACCCGAAGTCTTATTAATATGTTTATTTAAGATGAATTTGAATATGTTAATCGAAATTAGTGAAGCTTAAAAGCAGGATGATGATTGTTTGGACTGACTGAATTTTATGAAGAAATGGATTAAACTAAATTTGTTATATTATGTGAGGGAAATAGAGAGGGAAATCTTTAATGTACTAACTTCAGTTATATGTGTATGACTTTGTTTTGGGATGATTGATTTCCCCTCCACCACGGTGTTTTCTTGAGCACTCTGATGTAAACATTAAAAAACTAATAAAATTTGTTTGAAAAAAAAAGTGACGGACAAAAAAGAGATAAATAAAGGCAAGATAGGAATTGGCCATGGGAATAACAGATTTCATGTTGGTGGAGTTCTCTGTCAAATCAAGGAAAGTCTTATAACTTATTAGCAGAGAAAGGCTCTAATTTGCTATGTGTATGTTTCTCCTCATAACTGGTGCAATTAGAACCTGTGAAAATTTATTCACAATATTATTTATTTATTTATTTATTTGTTTGTTTGTTTGTTTGTTTGTTTGTTTGTTTGTTTGTTTGTTTGTTTATTTATTTCCTGCCCTTTTTTTTTAATAAACTCAAGATAGCAAACATATCTAATATTCTTCCTCCTATTTTACCTACAACGACAACAATCCAGTGGGGCTGAAAGAGGGTGACTGGCCCAAGGCCATCTAGCTGGCTTTCATGGCTAAAGGGTCTAGAACTCACAGTCTGATAGTTTCAAACCTGGTGCCTTAACCACTATGGGCATTGTTCTATTGATTATAAAATCAATAGTGGTGCCTTAACCACTATGGGCATTGTTCTATTGATTATAAAATCCCATTTCAAATTTCAATATATATATATAAAGGTTTCAACATCCCTGTGCTGAAACTATGCGTAGTCCAGTTACACACAGTGTACCCTACGTAACTCCATCTAACATAAGGGGAGATGGGCGGCACAAACATTTAATAAATAAAATAAACAAACAAACAAACAAATAAACAATCAATCTAAGAGATCCCGCTTTCTCAGAATACCTTTCAATATTCACTCATTGTACAGTCCTAGTTTACAAAGTGAAAAGCACTCTAGGAATCATTAGAAAGAATCAATCAGTTGCATATGCAGAAGATTCAGGGATTTAAATTTGGATGGTTGGCTACATTTAAAAGGTCTGCACGCACATCTGAAAGCTACTTAAAATAAAAGTCAGTGATCCATAACTTCAGAAAGCTGCAAAACTACCCCCTTGAGGTTGCAGTTGATTCTGGTTTTCTATGCCATAGCTCTCTTTCATCTTACAAGCTTTAACTAGAAAAGACACAGAGGCAATGAACTCTGTCTTACCACTGGATTTGAATTGTGACCGTACTCTTAATTGTTTGAAGTATCTCCTGGGAACATCACTTTCCCCACCTTTATGCCAAAGGAGCATGAGAGTTAAAGCATGCAAGGAACCATAATGTTTCTACAGGAGGATTAGTTTAACAGCCTATATGTTAAAGGGAATAAATTGCATATCCGTTAGCAGAAACAGACCATATGCTAGAAAAGTCATTGGATCTGCTTCACTGGGGGGGAAAAAAAATCAGCAATACACTACAATTAGAAGGCCTCAGCAGTTAGAAAATCTTTAAAGTCAACCCAACAGTTACCAAATGAACTTTTAATGACGCCTTCACCATCTGGGAGACAGCCTCTTCAACGGAAGGCAGGTTTGCATATCATAAAAATATGCATTCTAATGTATTCTAAGTTATCTACAGTGATGTTAAAATTTCTTAGAATGGGTATTTTACAAAGCCATGGGGGTGGGGATTGGAATGTCTGCAGAAGGAGAATTCATTTGGGTTGTCATCTAATTTATTAATCAGTTTGGCAAAAACATATGTCTATAGTCCAACTGTTTACCCCTAAAAGGCCATTAAAGCAATAGCATTTCCATCGTTGTATTATATTGCAATGTGCCAGTTATACTTGTAGACCTTTCAGTTCTGTTCATCTCCCATAAAATGTGAACAAATAAATTTTGGACTGTCAATGTCTATGTCTATGTAGGGGGCGAGATGGCTCAGTAGATAAAGACGCTGAGCTTGTCAGCTTAGACAGCTGACAGCCCAGGTTCAAGACCCAAGCTCCCTGCAATGGGGTGAGCCCCAGCTCCTAACCACCTAGCAGTTGAAAAGCATGCAAATGTGAGTAGATTAATAGGTACCACTTCAGTGGGAAGGTAACGGAGTTCCATACGCATTTGGTGTATAGCCATGCTGGTCACATGACCAAATTGTCTTCGGACTACACTGGGTCCCTTGGCCAAGAAACAGAGATGAGCAACATGCCCTAGAGTCAAATACAACTAACAGGGAAACCTTCACCATATGTATATGTATATGTATATGTATATGTATATGTGATAAAACCAATAAATATCGATCACCAAGAGGAAAGTAATAAATGGTAAAAAATTTAATGAGCCGAGCTTTCGTTGGGCCCACCCAACATCATCAGGGCTTTAAAAGTAGTCACTGGGAAAGAGCTTTTATAAGATGTTAACAGCCTGCATCCAGCTTCTGGAACATGTCACCGGACCCAGCTGTTCGTGGTGTATCCTAGATGCATTACCTACATCAACGCATGATGTTTTTCCATACCTCCTCCGTATTTTACCGTAAGTGTTCTCCTCGTTAACTTCAGGGGTGGAGTGAATTCTGTGTGTGGCACTATGCTCTGGGGGGTGTGTGCAGTTCTTTGATCTCACTGTTAAATTCCTCCGTCCCTTACAAACGTGATCCAAGTGTGCCGTCTCCTCCTTGCCCCTATCCCCAGACGCCACCCCCATCTGACGGAGGAGGAATTTAACACTTATGGTAAAATACGGAGGAGGTATGGAAAAACATCATGCGTTGATGTAGGTAATGCATCTAGGACACAACACGAACAGCTGGGTCCGGTGACACGTTCCAGAAGCCGGATGCAGGCTGTTAACATCTTATAAAAGCTCTTCCCCAGTGACTACTTTTAAAGCCCTGATGATGTTGGGTGGGCCCAACGAAAGCTCGGCTCATTAAATTTTTTACCATTTATTACTTTCCTCTTGGTGATCGATATTTATTGGTTTTATCATGGATTTACCCAAGAGTCGAATTTTTAGCTTTATAACTTGTCAATATGTATATGTATATATATATATATATGTATATGTACAGCACTATAATACAATCTTCCACAAGTGAAAAAGTGTGTGCATTGTTGGGAGCCTTGAATCCCAAAAGGATGAATTTATAATATTGGCGAGTTTTATAAAAGGATTAAATGCACATTCAAGTCAGCTTATTAAAACTCCAGCAGCAATGCCAATTTTAATGCTGTTTTCTTTTAGGAATGATTTTGATAGTTTAGCTGTGAAAATTCCACTTCGATGTTGTGATCGAAAGCTTACTTTTTAACTTCAATGTATTATTCTATTCTAGTTTATTATAAGATTTCAAGGCTATCCGACTCCTCTACAACCCCGAAAGTGGCTTACAGATCAAAAATAACATTAAAATACACAGCTACTTTTTAATGAATAAATATCAGCAATTTACTATGTTGGCTCAGAACTTAAAGCTGTTTCTTGCAAGTCCCAATTAATACCACAACATGTGCAGCAGGGACTTGAAAATTATCAGCTATATTACAGCCCCTCCTGTTTTGTTCTGGTAGATCTAACCAAAATCTTTTGAAAAGGCTATCTATCCAGATAGGCAAGAAAGTGAGAATCTTCTCTTTGATCCTTAGCCAGCTAGAATTCAAATTTATTTATTTATTTATTTATTTATTTATTTTATTAAACTTATATGCCGCCCTTCTCCCAAAAGGACTCAGGGCGGCTTACAGCATATTAAAACGATACAAACACTATCCCCAATAAAAACCAATTAAAAACAAATATTTACCGCTGTGTTACCATTAAAATTCTAATTAAAATTGTCCCTATTTAAAATTCTCCCTAGGCCAGACCCGCTTGCTGAAAAAGCCATGTCTTGAGGGCGCGGCGAAAAGATAGGAGATCCGGNAGTAGTCCAGGCGAGAGGTGACGAGAGCATGAGTGACTGTGCGCAAGGCGTCCCGGTCCAGAAAAGGTCGCAACTGGTGAATCAGGCGGACCTGATAAAACGCCCCCCTGGTCACGGCCGACAAATGGTCTTCCAATGTCAGCCGTGGATCCAGGAGGACTCCCAAGTTGCGGGCCCTCTCTGAGGGGGCCAAAATTTCTCTTAATTTTCATAATTAAGAGCTACTGTGTTAATCCCTTCCAAAAACTTTATTTTATAGAATTAGTTAGAAAATGTTTAGGAGATAGAATTTTAATAGTTAATATAGAAACAATGTTTACTATTATTTTGAACATAAACCTTTCATCCATGCTGTAGTGACCATTCCAGAAAACCATGACAAACATTTCTGAATGTTATCTATCTATCTGTCTGTCTGTCTGTCTGTCTGTCTGTCTGTCTGTCTGTCTGTCTGTCTGTCTGTCTGTCTGTCTATTTTGATAGCCATCTCCCCTATGAGGCAGACTCTGTGGGGGATGCTTACAGCTTATAAAAAGACAAATAGAATAATTAAAAATTTAAAACTATGCAAATTAAAAGTTTTAAAACTATACAGAAAACCAGGACTAAGAAACAGATAGCATGGGTCTTCTTTCCTGTCAACCACCTCCAGGGGTAAGCACCCCTCTCCAGACCCCTTCCATTTTGATGAAAGATAACTTACTTTCCTGGAGCAAATAATGTCTGAGAAATTTGCACAGGGGATGTCTTTATTTAGGAGATAGCTAAAATGGAAGCCATTTTTCTCATCATTCATTCTACAATCAGCTTT